ACAGCAAAACAATAAAAACACAAAATAAAGATTTAATTAAATTGAGAGATATATAAGGAGTACTTCGCGTGTGTCTTTGAAACTGCATTCAACTTTTGGATACAAAAATTGAAAAGAAAATAAAATACAATGGATTTATGAAAAATATTACTATATAGCGTGATAAAACATAATTTTTTCGATTCATTCAAAAATACATTTCAATGTTTCATTTGTAATTATATATTATTGATATTTTTTCATTTAAAAAAATTTTCTTTAAGAAATTTTTGAAAAATATTTTAAACTTTCACAGAAAATTAAAAGGCATTAAAATAAGCTGCAACGCTTCTTATTTTAATCCAATGTTGCTTATTTTAATACCAAAATGGATTAAAATAAGCAAAATTGGATTAAAATAATAAGCGTTGCAGCTTATTTTAATGCCTTTTAATTTTCTGTGTTTATATATTGAAAAGAACAAAAAACGTTAAATTGAAGCTTCTTTTATTTTTTAGAAAAAGAAAAACAAATTTTCTTTTCTATTAAAAAAATTATTTACTTAAAGTAAATATTTGTAACAGAAAATCTTTTCTCTACCTCATAAATATATAGTATATGTAACTGAGATATGAAATAAAAAAAATATTAATAAACACTAATTTCTGTGAAGCGTCTATAAGAAATGTAACAAATAAAAAATAAAAATCTAAAGAAGAAGAAGAAGAAGAAAAAGAAGAACAATATAATTTACGAGCAAGGGACTTGGATTCTGGAAACAACTTTTCACTCTGTTTACTCTTTGCAAGCATTGCTCGCAGAGACAACTTAATTTCACCAACAAGAAAACCGATACTACCCCAGTGACAATCAGAAGGCAAGCAAATAATTTTATGTAGGATAGATTCAATATTTATAAACATTTAATTTAATCCCAAGTAAATTTTCAAAAAGTGTTTATCAAAACTCTTTTTACTATCAGAATTGTACAAAAAAGAAATTGTTTTTAAAAATTCTCTCAAAAAATTAAAAACGTTTTTTTTTTAAAATTAAAATCTAGAACGAGAGTAATTATTTATTGATGTTCTTTAATTAATGCCATTTGTAAATAAATTACAGTTGTACTTTAGTGTTTTTAATATGTGTGTGTACATGTATGCGCGAATTTACAATTTCTGGGATTAAATCCTACGTGAATTCAATGACACACGCATTCCATTCGAAATTGATACAGAGTGACAGATTGAGGATGTGACGAGGAAAATCAAATCAGACAACTATAATTACCAATTTGCTTTTAATCTAATTGTAAGCGAGACTGAAGCAAATGGTATTGAAATATATTATTGATACATTAATCTCTATATACTTTCTATACGGTAATATTTGCATTCTATAAATAAACGTGAAAATATTATATAAATAATTTATATATGTGTATATTTAGTTATTCAATATCTACTTTTATACCAATTTAATATAATAATAATTTTTTTTTTTTGATTAATTATTACCATTAACGGTAATTTTTTCCTTGTATGCTAAATCAAAATGCTGAACTTTATGGAAAATTTCCTTAAACTACCACCGACCGATGTAATATTATACTCTGAAAAAGGATAAATTTAGTTCAACCGTATTATGCGTTTAATCCAAACTTATATTTTTGCTATACAGTCAAATATATTTAAATTTAATTCAATAATACATTTTTGTTGATGAAATATATTTCATTCAAACACAAATTTTGTTTCGATTCAAAGTTTGTATAATCTTTGGATAAAAATACAGTAAATTTAATACACACAGAATAAACTTTAATTTAAAATAATCTCCGAACGACACGCGAAAAATTATTTTTTAGGTTAAGAATCATGTCAAAATTTTGTTGACAATAAAGGTCTAAGCACAACTGAGTCGGGGTACGCAAATGCAAATCGGATACGGGATATGTTAAAGGCCAACGCACAATAGATTCGCGAACGTGAAACATGAGTTAGAAAAGGACAGAGATATATTCGTATCCTTTTCTATCTCATGCATCTCGTTCGCGAACGACTTTCGTGAACCTATTGTTGCAAGCGCAGTGACGTCATCAAAGCATTGATACCAATCGCGAACAAAAAGTTTGGTTTAAATTCCTCTTATCGCCTTGTTCCAACTTTACAATTTTTAATGCAAATGTTTATCTCGACGGCTTTTAATAATTTTAATTATTTAATATTTATAATTAAAAAATTCAGTGTCTTAAAATCATAAATCAAACTTTTTGTTCGTAGTTGGTATCAATGCTTTGATGACGTCACTGCGCTTGCGAATCAACGTGTCAGTCACGCAACGCAAACATTTAGAAACATATTGGAGAAAGGCCTTAAAGACGGTTGCGGTAATTTACATATTCCGTATCCAACTTGCGTACCCGACTCAGTAGTGTTTAGGCCTTAAATAAAAAATAATTATTGGAACATCTGAATTGTGACACTTTGACGAAGCTGAAATACGCAACGTTTATGATAAACGATTTTTAAAGAAATAATTTTTTAAAATGAAAAATTCTATAATTTTTTGCCTGAAAAATATTCCTTGTTGTTTTCATGAATCAACAAATTATAAAAAAATATTTTTTAAGCAAAAAAATTATAGAATTTTTTATTTTAAAAAATTATTTCTTTAAAAATCGTTTATCATAAACGTTGCGTACTTCAGCTTCGTACACTTTGCAAGGAATGGTAGCTTTTTTCGATGCATTGTGGGAGAACTAGAATTACATAGGTAGTTCAAGTTGAGTGGGGGAAAATTCAAGATGGACGAAAGCCGAGCGACAGCTTTATATTGGAACTGGAAGAAAATTTAATTTCTAAAATATCTGGCTTAAATTAAATTTTTTAATAAATAAGTATTAAAATGTTATTTTCTATTTTTAAAAAACTATTTGATTCAATAAAAAAAATTTATTCTAAACTAACCCTTAAATTTAAATCAAACATTATAATTTTCATTTAAACAAATAATATTTTTAAATTGAAGTGATAGATATTTTCCGTGTATTAAAATAAAACATACATACCATGAATTTAGAAAAAGAAAAAAGAATTTTTAATTTAAATATATAGAAATCTGTTTGGACAATTTTGTTTAATTTAAAAAATTTTGTAAGTTTTATTTTAATATAATGAAATTTTTTATTACTTTCATTTGAAAATATTATTTGTTTGAATAAAAATTATAACATGTTTAATGTAAATTTAAGGGTTACTTTCGAATGGGCGCATTTAAATTTCCACTGGAATTCCAGTAGAACGTCCGAAATATGACATATCTTTATATTTTTGACACCTGCTCCATCCTGCTTTCCTCTATTCTAGTTCCTCTGCCATGTATCAAAAAAAGCTACCATTCCCTGAAAGGTGTCACAATTCCGATGTTTGACTGACTATTTTATATTTATTGTCAATAAAGGTGCTTTTATACCTCTTAATTTCGACCAGATGAACATTTTTTCTGAACCGTGAAAATGCATGTCACTGAATGTGATTGGCTCTACAGAAATTCCATTTTCACGTATTTTTTTGTAGAGCCAATCACATTCACTGACTTGCATTTTCATGGTTCAGAAAAAATGTTCATCTGATCAAAATTAAGAGGTATAAAAGTACCTTAAGATTTTTACATGATTCTTAACCTAAAAAATTATTTTTTATTTTTTTTATATAAAATCTCTACTATTCATTATCATTATAGTTATAATTAATATTATTATTGTTACTATTATTATTATTATTATTATTATTATTATTATTATTATTATTATTATTAAATATAATTTTATTACCTATTACATATTTTTATTTTCAAATTTTGTATTTTTAATTTATATCTTTGCTATATGGTAAAATGTCAGAGATTCCAATTTGGTTCAGTGTTTTATCGATATTGTAAATTCGGTAAAATTAAAGAATTTTTTTTTACTTTGTGAAATAAATGGGACATGACATTGCTTTTTACTTAAAAAGAGAAAACAAAATCGACCACATTTTTGAAAAAATTTCTTTTTTTAATAACAATAATAATAATAATAATAATAATAATTTACTATATTACTATAAAAATAAAATTATTACGAAATGAAAATTTTGTTTTTTTAATGAAGTCTATATATTAAAAAAATATTTTTGAAAAATTTTTAGAATACGTATATGTATAAATATATCAGTGTATGCCATAGACAAAAAAAAATCTGGTGAATGCAAAAAGCGCAAAAACGACAAGTATAAGGGATGAAGAGCGAAGAGCCTTCAAGCGTGAAAGACGAGAGCTGAGGCGACGAAATGTTCATTGAAAGTGCTTTTACTTTTCTGCAGAGTACGACTAAAGAGATAGTGAGAGAGAGAGAGAGAAAACGTGAGAAAGAGAAAATTAAAGAAAAGAGAAGAAAAATAATATTTATAATGTCACTATTGAAAAAATCGAGCCAAACCATAAATCATAAACTCTATAAATAGACGACGAAATGGATTTTTAATTTAGAATTTATATTTTTAATTATTTGATTTTTAAAAGTTTTACTTTATGAACAAAAAAATAAAAGTGTTAAAAAATAAATGTTTAAAAAAAAAATTTTTTTTTAAATGTTTAAAAAAAAATTTAACACAAAAGTGGAAAATTATTGAAAGAAATTTTAAAAAGTTGTTATAGAGTTTCTAATAAAAAAATTAAAAATAAATAAAACTTTTATTTTGTTAATCACACTAAATTATCTAGATAATATGTCTAAATAAAATAATTTACATAAATTTATCAATTATAAAGAATTTTTCATTAAAATAAAAAATTATATCTTTAAAAATCGTTGATTATTATCAACGTTGTGAATTTCGTCATCGTGAAAAAAAAAGAATTATAAAATAGATTTTCGCGATGAGAAAGAGCTTATTTTGTTCGGTGATGTATTTTTAAGTGTCTCATTATTGTAATTTTTCACAATTTGTGCGCTTCTAGTTTGAAGTATATAATTCACTTACTTGAAAGAAAGAGATCTTGAAGAGCTTGGGCAGCTTGACAAAGGAGAGCCCAAGTTTCTGCAGCCTCCAAACCTGCACCCCTTAAAGCCAGAACATCCGCCGCCACGATACTTAACCCATCTTCGACGCCGGCACAAACGCCTCCAACGCTCAACGTGGGCATTCTATAAAATAAAGAATAGACAAAAAATAATATTTATTTAAGTTCTCGTTAATTTTTTTTTATTTTATTTTATTTATAATTAACAATGAAAAAGAACTTTAATTAACTTTAATTTTTATATTATATTATATTTTATACTATAAAAAGATTTCGCCGTTTCCGCTGATTTTGAAAAATTTAATCACGTGAATATAGCCGTAAGTTTATATTATACTGAAAAAAAAATTATTTGTTTCAAATAATCTGTTACTTGAGTATTATCAAATAAATATTTACTTGAACCAAATAATTTTTATTTGAATTAAATAAATTGTATTTGAACCAATAATTTCTGTATTTGAAACAAATACCATTTAATTGACTTAATTAATAATTATTTAATACAAAGAAATATTTATTTGCTAGGTAATAGTCAAGTAACCGATTATTTGAATCAAATAAATTTTTTTTTTTTCAGTGTACTACCTCTGTTTAAAGACGTGAATATAGGTGAAAGTCTATATGACCGTCACAATTTTGAGGTTATATTAGCCCATTTTAACCTTAAACCCAGCATTCTCTTCACCAATGTATTTAAAATTTGACCTTGAATTATGAGGTTATGTTAGCTTCTTGATTCTTATATCACCTAATTTTGAGGTTATGTTACAGGTTTTTTAGTATTTTTGGCCCTGAACCTTGATAAAGGCCTAAGCAGAATAGATTCTTGAACGGGAACGCAATCGTAAACGGAAACGTAAGAATGTGTAAGAGAAGGATAGCAAATATCTTTATTCTTCTCTCACCCATTCTTACGTTTCCGTTCACGATTGCGTTCCCGTTCAAGAATCTATTCTGCTTAGGTCTGAGAAAGGTCTGAGGTTTCAACATAACCTCAAAATTAGGTTAAAGTTCAGGGTCAAAAGACTGTAAAAAATCAAGAAGACGTTGGGTTTGATATTAAAATCGGCAAACTATGTCCCTCAATTTTAAATTGGGGTTTTTTTTCATCCAAGTGAGTAAAATTGTATTTTCCCCTCTAGGGAGTGAAATAGCTCCTTAAATCTATAAGTATATCTATATATTTGAAAAAATGTCTCCTTTTTTTTGAAGTAGAAATGATAAGAAATTCGAAACTGATGAAGCAAAAATCGAGAAGTTAAGCTTGAAATAAGTCTCCGTTCACATAACGAAAATGTCAGAAGCTTTATAATTCCCAGGAGAAATATAAATCCATTTGACAGGAGAAAGAGAGTCGAATGTTAGACGTTTTAGAGAAGTTTTAACGGTTAAAAGCAATGTGTACGTGATATTGGATCAAACTTGGAATACAAGTCAAAGATACAATATATATATATATAGAGAGAGAGAGACTCGAATGCAATGGTCACTGGGATTACAAATCTTCCAATGTGCTAAGTCTAGCAGAAATTTCTGATCGAATCTTATATAGACTCTTGACCTTTTTCTATACAATACATATGATTCACAATCAGAATATATATATAAGATTTGAACAGAAAAAAAATCTACATTAAAATATTGCCAATGTTATATATTACTTATTTTGTTATATATCATAGAGAAAAGATTAGCTTGAAGTAATTTCCGTACAATTTTTATTTTTTTATTTCTAAATAAAAATTCTATTGTAAATAGCAAAATTATAATTCATTTTTAATTTCAGATAAAAGGGTTCGAGGAAAATTAGTACAAATTATATTTTAGGTTAGGAATCATGTGAATTTGAAATTTATAAAAGTGGCAATCATTAAACATAAAGATATAAAGGTCAATTACCTAAATTTTTCCGGATTCCACATTTCACATTCCTTATTCCACTTTTCACATTCCGGATTCCTCATTGCGGATTCTATTTTTCATAACGCGGTGCAAAAAAGAGGCACTTTTTTAGCACGCCGTGCTAAAAAGTGCGTTTTTTTGCACCTTGTCATGAAAAGTATCGTTCGTAACTTGTGTTAATATTTGCAGATTTTTGAAAAAGTGTTTTTTTTGGGACGAGCTGTAGGCGAAGCTTCGCTTCGCCTACAGCTCGTCCCAAAAAAAAAAATTTTTTCAAAAATCTGCAAATATTCACACTCGTTACGAAATATACTATTATGCTACTTCTACACTCACCTAAAACTGAGCGAGCAGTCCGCTTTTCCGTGACGCTTCCTATATTTAACTATATCTATATATATAAAAAACGTAACGCAAATCCAGACCGCTCGATCAGTTTTATAGGTGAGTGTAGAATCAGCATTAAAAATTCCGAATTCCACATTTCACATTCCGTATTCCGCAGCCCACATTTCGGATTCCACTTTTCAAATTCCGTATTCAGGATTCTACTTTAAAAATTCTGTATTTCGGATCCTATATTCCACATTCCGAATTCCACTTTCCAGATCCCACATTGCGTATTCCATTTTACACATTCCGTATTCTGGATTCAACTTTCAGAATGTGAGATGTGGAATCCGGCATTTTGAAATTGGAATCCGACATGTGAAATTCGGAATGTAAAAAGTGGAATACGGAATTTTGAAAGTGGAATACGGAATTTTGAAAGTGGGATCCGGAATATCGAATTCGAAATGCGGAATCTGGAATGTGGAAAATTGAAAGCGGAATGTAAAAAGTGGAATCCGGAAATCGAAAATGAAGTACGGAATATGAAAAGTGGAATCTGGAATGTGAAAAGTAGAAGTTGGAATGCGGAATGTGAAAAATGGAATACGGAATATTCAATGTGAAAAGTAGAATCTGGACAGTAGTCACTAGTCAGCTATCTTAAAATTTTTAAAATAGTTTTCATAAAAAGCTTTTTTAATTTTTTCTCCCTTTTATCTCTCGTTTCTTTTTATTTCTTTATATTTTATTTATGAAAAGGGTTATAAGAATAAGTTATATCTAAAAATGTTCCGGTTGATTTCGCATGTGAATTCTTGGAAAACCTCAAATCGTAAATCAGTGGAGGCTGAAGGAAACATCTTTTACCTCACTTGAAGTAGTTTTGAGAGTGTTTGAGAGGCACGGGCATTTGAAAGATATTCAGAGAGAGAGAGAGAGAGGTGGCTCTTTGAAAATATAAAATGTTACCAAGAAATGTTATGCGACGCGTAAATTTTACAGAGATTCCAGAAAAGTTACCGCATGTGTTTTCGTGCAGAAGAAATTGACTTCAGTCAAATAGCACATTTTACGCCAACAAAACTGTGTGATACTTTTTAAGAGCTTAAAACTGTATAAATTTATACAGACCAACTCTGCGTATTTATATTTAAATAAGAAATATCTCATATCAGCTTTGCATCCAATTATTTTAAATGACACACTTCCTTTAAATGTGCGATTAATGTTTTTTTAAAAGTATTTTTGTTCCTTATATTTTGAATTTGGAAAATATAAAATGAGATTCGCGTTTAACAACTGTTAAAATCCCCGAGTGACAAGTGACAATTAACATTGTTTTGTGTCATTGAATAATATTATAACATTTTTGTACTCTACTTTGTCCCCAATAAATTTTCATCTGTAGAATTCTCTCTCAAACAAAATGTATTGACAATTGTACTCTAAATATGCATTATATGAAAGATGAACAAAAAAAAAAAGAAAAATTGAAACACATAAAAAATATTGAAGTTCTTTTGTTTAATCATGAGATTGAAATATATGACAAGTTTTTATATTCTTGACACATATATGAAAAATTTTATTAGCTCCATTTTATTAGGCATTATGAGCATTGTTGAGAATGACCATTGAGAGTGTCGGACACAAATAGCAATTAAAAAATACTTTGTCAAAGCTAATTCTTCGGGCTCTTGAAAAGTCTCGAATTAAAATCACGGATATTTTCACATGATGTGTATGTGTGTGTGTGTGTGTTTGACTATTGGAAATCGATACTGTATATGCCTACGCGGGATTTTTTTTTTGGAATTGTCATTTTCAAGTCGTGTCGATATTGTGCGGACAGTATTAAATAGGTCTGTCGACGGAGTGAACAATGATGCCATGGTGAGCCTATTCAGAAGTTTAAAACTTCCGCAACGTACTCGCGCGAATATTGTTCTGGTGGGATTGTCGACAGGTGTTTTACTTCACTCTTCAGAAATATACATATATACATATGCACTACATTTAACGCTTCTACATTGCTTGTCGAAAACTTCATATTAATTAACTTTAACGTTCATAGTTAATTAAGTCTCCAGGAACTGATAGTCATATATATAGTTGAAAAATAAGAAAGAAAAAGAAATTTGAAAAAAAAATTTATTTTACGTAGAAAATGAAGGAGGATGATGATCGTAACGTAACCTTTAAAAAATGGTTTTTAACGCACATAAAAAATATTCGAAACATTTCTATCAATTTTGGAGGGATCTAGTTACACAATACGGTGGTCCTTATTTTTAAAATTTTTTCGAATTTTTATCCTAATTTTAATAAATATTTAATGGTTCCGCAAAAAACCTATTAATTTTTACATATGGTCGATTTCACGTGAGATTTAAATTGGGATATACATTTTTTTTCGTTTTTTGCAGAAAAAAGTTACCAATACGTATTTTAAAAATTTTTTTAAAAGTGGACAAAGTTTTAAATTTTTAACACAGCACAGATTTTTTTACAAATCTGTGCTGTGTTTTTCAACGGTGACCTAATTTATTAAATAAATATTTACTTGAATCAAATAATTTTTAATTGAGTTAATTAAATTGTATTTGAACCAATAATTTCTGTATTTAAAACAAATATACCATTTACATAATTGAATCAAATAATAATTATTTGATACAAATAAATATTTATTTTATTTAAATCAAATACATTTTTTTTCAGTGCGTCTAATTTAGAAATTTTTGCCATAAGAAAATAAAGTTTCAGTTTCTCATTGACTTTCAAAATATGTTAATGAAAAAAAAATTTGATTTTCTTTATATAAAAAAATAACGATTTTTTGTAAACAATTTAATTTTTTTTAATTTTGGGCATGTTTTTTTTATT